ACGGAGCTCATCAAATAAACTCCCAGCTTCCGTTTCGAATTGAACAATCATAAATGCGTCGATTTATTTCATTATCCAATAGGATTAGAGATTGGTCAATTCGAAACCGGAAGTTAGGAGTTTTTCAAGGAGTTTTTAAAGCAGTTTTTCAAATATTTGATGAATTCGGTGATCCAACTGATAAATTTGAGCACATGAATTACTCGATATTTTTCGGAACGCTTCTATTGCCACGACTGTAATATATACGTTATATTCTGTACTAAATATGAAAATGCAACGCCAACGTGGATAAAAAAAGCACAATATGAACTATACGCGTTTAAATTAAGATAATGTTGGTGCATATATAGTTGAGTCACGCGTTGAAGAAGGATGTTTTGCATCCTTGCACCTGGCTCATGAGAGTAAAACGTGAAGTCCATCTCAGTTAAGGTGGCTCTAAATTCAAACTTCGTTCCCATATTTTTTATTATTATATACCACTTGTCCAAGTTTGGTGTTCGTAGCGTTTAATGGACGACTTGCGCTTTAGACTAATTTTTTACATTGGCGATAAAAAGGACATTTTCTAAAAGAGCTTACTAAAATTAGCAAAACTGCCAAGTTTGCCTGGTAGTTGTTGTAAATTACGGAAGATATAACCAAGCGAAGTTAACGAATTTTGTATACTTTTGTGTTACGGCCGGAATTTTGTAACTAATTTAGTTACACATTTCCACACGTAATACAAAAGTATACAAAATACTACCATATTTCGCGACAGCAAGCCAAATCAGTTTCAAATTTTAGTTTCATTTTTAATGTACCCAACTACTACAACCATGAAAGGCTTTCTAAGCATTTTATTATAGGCTAACTTAGTGTCTAATCCGTATACAGACATAAGAAATATAAAGGTATAATGTAACATGTTATAAACGTAAAACCAGTTCAATCATCACATTAATTACTTATTTAAAATTATCTAAACCAAATACAACTCTAATTGATATTTGAATGTATCTAAACTTTCAGTTCGAAAATGATATAAATGACCAAAAACTTACTTTATTTGCATCTGATATAATAGAAAACGGAAGAAACAAGTAATCAGTGGCACGTGACAAAATAGGAAAGTGCAATTTTCATTTATGACTTATTGTGTTCGATAATTTATTATTTCTTCACTTATTTGTCTAAAAATATCGATTGTTTGAATATGACGATTGGCAAGTTAGTTGTAATAAATGACTAGGCATACTGCCACACAACTGAAAACGTATATAGTATACGCTTAATTTGTCAAAGGCTCGCGCAGCCCGGACGCGATTCAGGCACGTTGCGCGATTTTTGGTTGACAAAGTTTATATGATTCCCACTGCAAAAATGATTAATAAACATGCAGAAAATGTTAGCCAAGTAGCAAAGAGGGAGCCAAGAATGGCTGTTTGGCGGAGGTCCCTAGAAGTTGTATTACGCCACTGCAACTAATTTCTTCTGTCTTGAATTGAAATAAAAAACGACAAATTTTTTTCTATTTTAGTTTATATACGTTATCGTTTAAGCGTTCACAGCAGTGACAAAAACGTAGCATGCTGAGAGTGTTCATACCAATTTGGATGTCGTTGTTTTCTCTGGTATTTCTAGGATACCTCTCCAAAACTTGTTTACAAACATCTGATCTGGATCCATTTCTTCTCGCAAGGCCAACCATTCGTCCATCTTGTCATATGCGTTTTTCAGGTAGCTCAAATTGAAAGTTACACCGCAGTCAAACTTTTGCCCAGGTTCTGGAAGCCATTTTCGCCAATCAGATCGCACTTACAAAACAATAAATTTAATATTGCTTTTAAAAACAACACGATCATTTAAACTCCACAAAACAAACAACTTACCATTAATCTCCAAAATGTTATTCCAAAAATGAAGATAATCCGACCCAGTTAAAAGAAAATCAATTTTTCACCTTTCGAACAGCGTTTTCTCTATACTTTTATATTGAAATTTGGCCGAAGGAGCTTACCAGAAGAGAATCGGGTGATTGCATGGCGCGTGGAAATGACGTGAGAATGACGTGATATTTGGAAAATTCGGGGACAATCGTTTTAACATTTCAACTAATTTAACTAATTACATTTAATATATCTATAGGCTAATTAAAAAGGACTGTAAAACAATTTAAAATTTGGAAAAAGGGAACAGAAATAAAACAAAAAATAATTGTACTTGTAGAATTTGATATTTAAATGGCGAGAAAAGCAATAACTAACCTTAAAAAATGCAGCGTTGTCAACACGATGTAGGGTTTTCAAAATAGCGTTTTGGAAGGTAGAAACAATGAAGACGACTTGGCCGCGCAAGTTTCTGGTCCCCCTCGGCGTGTGAATCGTAAACTCTCTATTAAATCGGAAGAGACGAGCCTCTGTCCATATCTCCTCTGTGACAGTGGCTTGTATTTCGTGCGCGTGGGTTTCACACCTCGCGACATTCTTATTGGTTAAAAACGTATGACGTATCGGATCACTGACCTTTATATACAAGTCTGTATGGCAGGTATTCAAAAACAACCCACGTTAACCATTCTTACAAAAGTAATGCACAACACAACGATCATTGGCAGTAACATTGGGTTCTATACAAATAAAAAAAGACTATACCCAACCCATATTGTAAAAGTTGTCAGAAATAACTTGAAAAATTACAACTTTTACTTTGGTATACTTTATCAAGGTATGTCAAGGGGCAAAACAATGACAATTCGTTGCTGTCCAAAGTTATCAGACCAACATATCCACCTAAATGGGTCTACTAAAAAGAAAGTAAAGTATTCCACCCAAATTCTAAGACACTCAGTAGCATCCACCATTCATATATGATGCCAAAGTTCACAAACATGCAATTTCCTCAGATTCAATCCACACGAACTTCTTGAAAGAGTTGCTAACATTTGTTGAATCAATTAAAGTGGTCAATCCTGCTGATAATAGACCTTTCTTATAATGACGTCAAACGCGGAGAGTCTGATGTTACACGAAATTTGATTGGCTCCACAAAACTATCGAGCAAATCAAACTTCGTGTAGCATCACACTTTCCGCGTTTGACGTCATTATGAAAAAGGTCTATTCCTAAAGTGTTTGAATGGCTTGCCGTACAACGATCAATGCAGTCTGGGAGGTCCTAGGAATCTCTTCGATTTTTGTTCGGGGCAATTAGGCGACAAGGTGCATGGGAATGCAGACAATTCTACGCCTCTACAGGCAAGAGCGTTTACGAAACTTTTCTATGACAACTACAGTGCCTCATTCTACCAACAGAAAATTTCAGATAATTTCGATTAAATTCTGCATGGTTGTATCTTCAACGCAAAAAATGTGCCCAACGGCCCCAGCCAGTTCCGTCGGTGGAACAGATACAACCACGTCAGCCACAGTGCAGGAGTATAAATAAAACTTGTCTAGAAAACAACAGTAATGATGAATGCCATCGCATATTCTGTTATCGGCGATCACAATAATGAACGCATGCATGCATGTTTATACTGTCAAATGACTCCCATTATTCCATTATTACAACCATTCAAAACTACACTAAATTAAAGAGGGTACCTAAATATCGAGGCAGGATTCAAGTCAGGACTCAAGTCAGGACTCGAGCCAGGACTCGAGTCAGGACTCGAGCCAAGGACTCGAGCCGACAAGCTCCGATTTAATGACTCATCTACGTCTTGCTGATGGAAACTTCTATTGCCGTCTTTCCCGCGTGCCTGCATGTTGGCGTATAAGCGGGTTCTTCCCAGTTTAATGGTTCTTCCCGTGTGCGGACAAATTTTAAGCGCTTTTGTTCATTCGTTCCAGAATAAAGTGCCACGAATGAACAAAAGCGCTTAAAATTTGTCCGCACAAGAGAAAAATTTGCTTACGCCAACAGCCACGAGTGATTATTAGCTCGGCTAGTTGCTCTCGTGTGCGGCAGGTTTTAAGTAGACTAGAATTTTTCCGAATTCGTTAAATGTGATTATTTATGATACCATTTTTTGAGTCCACAATTTTTAAATCGCTAAATGAATTCAAAAACAGAACTTTGCAAAGCTTCTAGTTAGTCAGCAACATTGTATTGGTCGCATAGCGTTAGAAAGGCCAATTCTTTTACCATTACGGTGCATGCACCATTAAATCGTGAAGATTTGAAAGTTAAAACAATGGATAATAGAAACACAATGTGTTTTTATTCTCCATGCCATGGTCAGAAATGAAAATTAACGATTTGCATCCGATATTTTGGACAGCAATTACCTGTTGGTTACGAGTTATGTTACCCCCAATTTTTATTTCATAAAATGATTTATTATAAAATCAACTATATATCATCCAAATATGGCGGATTGGTCGCATTGCGTGAGAAAGGTTAATTGACTCGAGTCCTTGACTCGAGTCCTTGACTCGAGTCCTTGACTCGAGTCCTTGACTCGAGTCCTTGACTCGAGTCCTTGACTCGAGTCCTGGCTCGAGTCCTGCCTTGAATCCTGACTCAAGCAATAGTATATCTCTTAGGGGCTGTTTACATGAGCCCGGTTACCCGAGATTCAACGAAGCGTGAGAGGACTTTGAGGTATTGAAATAAGTCTTTCTGACACCAAATAAGCACATGCTATTGTTGTGGTGATTATACGACTGCCAGGATCATGCATCTGCTTATTTCAATACCTCAAAATCATCTCACGCTTCGTTGAATCTCGGGTAACCGGGCTCATATAAACAGCCCCTAAATTAAACCGCCTGAACAAACTTATTGTGTTACACCATTCTCGCGTAGGAGGCATGCATAGGGCTGACAATGAAGAACCATCGTACCAATATGTCGATGCGAATAAGATCATGTTTATCTTTGTTGTTAAGAACATATCTGACATATTGCCTTTTGTCAAGCTAAGTCTATTGGACTCACGTTGCGCTATAATTTATAGACCGGTAATAAAGTCTATGTTTTCAAGGGCCCGAAATTTCCGACCTACATGCACTGAGTTGTCACGACCTCACATGACGTTTTACTGCTGATTAAGTCAGAAATATTATGGATGGATTATTTTGCCAGCGTTGGCAAGGGCGAATATTCGTCCAGTATTGAGAGTATTTGCTGTTGTCAGCAAGTAACTGAATACTTTGGCAATATATATGGAGAAGCTGCCTTCCTGTTTAAACTGTTTAGATATGCAAATACGTCACCTGTCATGTTGAATTTTCTCACTGAATTTGTAAACCAAATAAGACTCAGTGTGAGTATTGTGCGTTTGTTTACAGTGACAGTCCGTTTGAATAGAACAGACAGAAAACTTGGGGAAAAGATCCAATTTGTTGCTGTCTTTTATCAACGTCGAAGCCTAAGGTAGGATTAAGGATTGTTGTTTGTAAATGTAATTTTCAAATTAACTCGTGCATGAAACCCGGGCTAGTGATAAAGTGTTTATTCCTTTTCCGATTACGGATTCGTTCGTTAATCTCACACTGGCGTTAAGTGCGAAAGGGAAAATTCGATTGCTCAGCGGCGATGAGAAATCGACGACGAATGCGGAAACAACTATACGTTTTATATACCACGTTGGTGATGAAATTAGCTACAACTGCGAAGAATATTATGTTCTGTAACGAATGCTTAGCCCGTAGGCCGTAGCCTAAGTTATCAATATATACTTTAATACTTTATTACTCAGAATGACAGACTACACCTCTCAGACTATGCGAAGAGCATAAAAAAGTAGTTTGTGTATTTTACATGTAAAGGCTAAGCCAGATGTCCTAAGTGCAGATTTTCCCCAACTACAGACATTGAAAGCCCTACTGAGTTTTTCTTACAACAGTTGTCATAACAGTTCACGGTAGTGTGTATAAAATTCGACGAAATTTGATTGTAATAACAGTATGTCACTGCGTATCTGGTATTTGAAACGTGACAGAGGTTTTGTAGATAAGTATAGGGCACATGCATGCACACGTACATAATGACTACCCGTACTGACCAGCGACCCGACTTTTCATTTCTATACCAAATCATGTGTCGTGATGCAATCGAATTCTGCGGCAATATTGCAAATGCCTTACATAAGCCTTCACATTCTACATGGAACTAACAGTCTAACACAGTTAATACGGTATCACAAAGAAGCATGGCGATTGCGATAAGCGAAGTTATAGTCGGCCATATATGATATATATGCATTATTATTGAGTGATGCATGATATAGCAGTTGAAAAATCGCATACGCCAAGCCACATGGTTACATTTGAATAAAATTATGTCCATTCACAATACCAGGAAATGACTCACAACGGTATATAAGACATTGGTCACGCAAATTAACTGACTGATATAGTTTTGTCTACTGGGCTGTCAAAGTTAGGTAAAACCTTGCTAGACTTACGCATTCTTAGGTTTTAGCATGCTGTATATATATATATATATATATATATATATATATATATATATATAATAATATATATATATTAATATATATTATATATATATATTCACATGTACCAAATAATGTCCTTTTTCGTCCATTCTTCGTCGATATTTTTCGTGTCAAAAATGAAAGTGCAAGCTTGTTTTTGTTCAAAAATATGAGAGTTGGACCGTTACTACGGCAACGGTCTAATACTGGGGGATTCCAGACCGGCAAAGAACCAATCAGCACACGCCATTTTAGTCACGAGACCGCGTGCCATATAATAAATATTGGATATTGCACGGTTGCAAGTACATTTGGATTTTATGTTCGAGTGGCAAAAACAATATATACTGTTTTTGCACTAGAAAATACTGAAATGTTTCTGTTTATTATATGGACTAATTATAAGTCAAAAAAATAAATAATTCACACAAAAACAAGAAGTAAATCAGCCGCGGAAGACCATTATAAAAGCGAATATTTTTTAAATGGTAATTATATCACAACATTAAATCGTTTTAAATTTAGAATTAACCACCTTAAATGGGATGGATTTCAAGTTTTACTCTCACAAGCTATGTGCAAAGATGCAAAACATCCTTCTATAACCCGAACTTGAAAAAATTTTTCGTTTTGACAGTAATAAGTATGGGAATAAACCATAACGCGGGAACAAGGCTCGCGGTCTAAGCCCCTAAGCCTCGTTCTCGTGTTATAGCTTATTACCACATTTATTTGTCAAAACAAAAAAAATATTTCATGCATGTGTTGAAGAAGGATGTTTTCCATCTTTGCACGTGACTCGGTGAGAGTGAAATTTGAAATCCATGGAATTTAATTTAAGGTGGTTCCAAATTTAAAACTTTGTGATGTTAAAATGTTGTGACGTAATTACCGAAAAGGTCTTCTTATGCGCGCTATGTAATACGGTCTTTAAAACTTGTCCTCTTTAGTTTTAAAGAGCTTTGACAGGAATCACTTTGCTTACGGATACATACGTATACATTGATATAAATGAAATGTATCTGTATATAAATGTCGTTTGGTTTACGAAATACTAGAGAGTGCTCAATACCATATAGATAGAACAGATATAGGAGTATATTGCTTACCAAAAATCGTCAATATCAATGCAACTGAATATATAGTATATGTTAAGCTATTCAAGCGTATGGCCTTAGCCTCAGGGCTAGTACAGTAATTAAACGACAATTAGATGAATTGATCAATTTGCGAATGTTTGAGGTTCCGATCTCATGGATAATCACAATCTTTTCAATAGATCAATTAATACTTGAAGAAATTATTACAAAAAGGCAACAAAAGGTCTTTCGATCGTAAGCAAGAATAATAACCTTGTTATTGCCCTTAGAATACCATGTTAGATTATCTAACAGATTATTTGCACAACCGTCATCACGTTATGCAACTGACAGTTCAAAATGTATAACAATCAATCTCGAGCACGGCTTATACCGTTCACAAGGATAGCTCAGGTAAGTTACGAATGTATCTCGACTTTTCTATATATGCATAAAAAAGCTGGTTTATACACAGGGAGCCGAAATATTTTGCAATTATACAAATACAATCACACTGGAAACTCAAAAAAATATGGTGCACATTTAAAATATTAAATACGCGGCTTCATGATTGCCTATATATTTAAAAACATTATTAAAGAACAGAGGTATATCCAAACAAGAGGTAGATCAAGCAAGTTTTTGGTCAACCATGCATGCATACAAGGCATATTTTCTACACCGGTTTAATTTTTTATATTGCAAGCCACCATTGGGCAAGAATGACCGAATTCACACGTTAAAATTATTATATATCTCCAGTATCTCCCACGATATTTCTCAGTGACCAGGTATACTTATATATACATGATATTCATAGAATGTAGGGGCCTTATATATTTGGACATTTGTTCCAACGCGCGTTTTTGAAATAATAGTCATGTTTTTTTTAATATCTGCAATGAGAGCAACCCTATATTCACTAGCTTGTGGATATATCTTGTATTAAAAAATGAGCACAGATATACGAGGCTGATAAAATATGTTAGTCACAATCCCATATTTCCACGTTTGAGCCTAATTAAAGCAGTGCATAATAAAGAAAAAAACAACATAAATAAAGAAAAAAAAACAATTAATCACGAACATGCCACAGCTTGTACTGTTTTTACAACATGATTAATACAATTATTTACATTTATATACATGCACTTTTTAATAAGAGATTATACGCCGATGCCTTCAACTTGACCACCATCTCTATCGATACAAATTTGACATCGCCGCCGATTTGCTTGGAATGTTCTCCTCATGTGATTTATTACTACTTATAATATGCGTATGCGGGTAGTTTATTCAGAAGCGAAATTCTCCTTTTATTTGCTCATTTTTTCACCTTTCGGAATGTGAAAAAAATTCGTTAATAGAATGAGAGTTCACGTATATATATATACATACATATATATATATATATATATATATATATATATATATATATATATATATATATATATTATATATAATATATATATATATATATATATAATAAAATCAATGAAATATTACAAAATTTTGAATATATTGTTCGCTACACTCTGTGTTTCACGTTTCTTCTGAAACGATCATCAGGCGAATGATTACTCTACAGCAGTTAAAGTTTGTGTGATGACGTTTTTGACGTCATCACACAAACTTTAACTGCTGTAGAGTAATCATTCGCCTGATGATCGTTTCAGAAGAAACGTGAAACACAGAGTGTAGCGAACAATATATTCAAAATTTTGTAATATTTCATTGATTTTATTTCAATCGCTCTATTAAAATTTGATATCGAGCACTCTTTCTTCTTGGATACTTTACTTAATTGTATATATATAATATATTATATTATATATATATATATATATATATACATATATACATATATATATATATATATATATACAAAAAAATTCTCGACGTTTCGACCTGAGGGCCTTCGTCAAGAAGAGAGTTATAGTATGAACTAATACTAACTCTCCTGACGAAGGCCCTCGACTTTACCCTCAGTTTCGACCTGAGGGCCTTCGTCAGGAGAGTTATAGTATGAACTAATACTAACTCTCCTGACGAAGGCCCTCAGGTCGAAACGTCGAGAACTGTTTTGTCTATTTTAGGCTGTTGTTATTCCACATATATATATAAAGAAGATATTTTGGCACTGGGAAAATTAGCTAATTACATGGCAAAAAGCCGAAAGCGTCGATGGTAATTACATGCTTGCAAGCATCACAAGCTAGCACCCTACTGTTATCGTAACCATAAACCATAGCTTAAGAATTATTTTAAATATAAGCGAAATCGTTCGGTTTTTATATCATGTATATGAAGTTGTAGCTTTAATTTAAATATCTTAGGCACATATCGATTGCCTGTAGAGCGCGTCTGCTTGATTGCTGCAGTGCTGCTATGTAGCGGGTATAACTTAACTAAGTGTTTATCACCGACCGATATTGTGTGAGTTTTGGGTTTTGGTCGAGGGTCGCGAAGGTAGGTCGAGAGTCGAGACTGAGGTCGAAGGTAAAGTCGAGGGTCGATTTTTATCGTATTTTTCGATCGGCAATGTCGAGGGTGAAGTCGAGGGTAATATTTTTCTCTCAATACGTCTAAAAGAACATAAGACGAACTGCGAGACTGCAAGATGGCAAAGAAGTGAGACCGCATGATGGCAAGATGTTCATGCAAGAGAATTAATTAATAAGTTTAAGCCGTTTTGGAAGTCTGACTCGCAAAATATAATGCCAAAGATTAATTTTATGAAAAGGATTCCCGCCTGATTCAATTCATAAATTGTATATACGTATACTTATACATGTAATTTATTTAGCTTGCGCCGTATCGCTTTGTATATTGCATAGAAGAAAATATTATAGCATAACATATTAATAGGGTGAATTGTGAATTTCTACCATTGACTCTCGACATTGCCGATCGAAAATGCGATAAAAATCGACCCTCGGTTTTACCCTCGACTTTATCCTTGACCTTACTCTCGACCCTCGACTTTCTACCCTCGACCAAAACCCAAGTTCTGGCCTGCTTTACATGCTGTGTGGTTTCTGTCACTCTGCCAAGAAATTACTAATCGCAGAAAGCAACTAAATTGAACAATGCTGTTACCATTTTAGACGGGGATATCTGGTGCTCTTATGTTGAAAAAACTATATTTGAGTGAGAGTCGCTGATTACACGGTTTTACGGAGGAAAAGGCAACAAAAACAACATGGTAAATGCGTGCACTGATCAGTGTATCAATTGATGTGACCGCACGTAGTGCTATCAGAAGCGATAGAAAACATTTAATTCAGCGAACTGTCATTCGACACATATAACTGAATACGTTTACAGTAGAAGTACCCAGTTTGTTTGTGTTGTTATGATGCGAGGAGATGTTGACGCAAAGATTGTGTCACATACTGTGTTTTCTTGTGACTGTCGCTACCTTTACGGTTATTTCGTACGTCAGGATATATGAAAGAAGTTACTTCCACTCGCCGGGTATGTATACACAATTTTCTGCCTCTAGTTCTTTGTATGCGCATGAGTAAGTTGAAGTAGATGTCAATTGATACACGCGGTAAAATTAAAGTAACAAAATAAGCTTCAATGCACATTTTCACGCTGAGACAGACATCATACGTTCCATGGAGATTATAATGATGGAGATAAAACTTTGGTTAATTGCTGTAGCCCTATACGACGCAATTTTGATTCGAGATTCATCGAATCAACTTGTTTGTGAGCAATTGCAATTAATCACAAGAAGTCAGGATATCTTTATCTTGACGAACGTTTTGACGAATTACTCAAGCAAGTTAGAACTCAATAACAACTATATATTGGGTTACGCAAGTTAATACTTGACATAATCAGTTATATATATTGCCTGGGATTTGTGAATGTTTATTGTGTTTAATGCTTTCTTTTTACATATCGTAAATTTGACAAACTACTACAGTAATGATAGTCTGGCTATAGTTGTTACAGGTGTTTTACAATGATCATTGGTAAGACTAAAGAAAATCGCGGTTATATAAGTGTACGATATCACGTAGTAATATTTTAGACAGTAGGTGGTTGCAACGTATTATGCGACCATGCATTAACACGTTTCTTTTCAAAATCGCGTGAAATATAGAGAAAACTTTGAAGGTTTGCTTGAAAACTTTCAAACAAATGAGTAGTACATTACCTTGGCCTAAAACACAGTATATAACTTCATATTAATACGTAAAAAATTGCACGGGAAGTTATACTGAAGCACGAGACAACACGCTGTAACTATACTCGTTCGAGAGTCGTTATCCGGCGCGAACGGCGAATCAATCGAGTATAACATCCATCGTAACATACAGTATACGAAATATGACTAATTGCGTTTGGAAATTTCAGATACGTCAGGCTATGTAACAACATATGTGCTATATATATGACATATGATTTCCTTCAAAATTTTTAATTAATATCTTACTGTAAGTACTCGTTTCAGGGTCGTGATCTTTCTGTTCATGTGCTATATTTAATATCATGACATATTAAGACTATTTATCCCTGCGAAAGTATTAGTCGCGGCCCGAATAAGTCGCGGCTTAAAGCCTGGTTTAGACTTGTCGTAAGAATCTTGGATTCCCTTAGTGTGAGCCTCTGAGGTCACTGTTGCGCAAAATCTTTTGTCTATCGGAAAATAATACAGTGGATTCCCGATTCTTTAATAAGCCTGCTTCTCATATGTCACTGACAGCCGATGATGCATTACATGCAATGGCGGTGACAAGAAAAGTTATTCAGAATAACAAGCACTTAATTTATCGGTGATCACCGACAATGGCCACCATACCAACCGTTGGTGACATGAGAACCAGGCCTAAGGAGCTAATGTGAATCAGACCTAAAGAAGTCGGGAACAAGAGCCTCATTTATATACGACTATTTTGTCCCAGAGTGAATTAAGCCACGGTCTGTCTGTAATTAAGACGAACCCCAATTAATAGTTTGATTAAAACAAGCTGCGGGATCGCGACTTTTAAGACGCAACTTGTGTAAACGAGAACAATTTAAGCGTAACAAGACGCCTGTTCTGGCGTTAACTCCGGCGCACGTGCCAGTCTTCAATATAGAGCTTCTGAACATAAACAATACAGTTCATATTCGCATTTAGATGCCTTGCGAACCTAAATGTTCGATCGCGAAATTCAAAAGGACATTGTACTTTAAAAAGTATAGAAGTTCAATTGTTCAAAAATGTAAATAAACCGCATGATATATTCGCTTTGTCTTACACTTTGCCTTTGGAATTCGCGCTTATATAGTTATATTAAATCTTCAATCCTGTGCAAACTACGACGTTCAACGCGCCCATACACGACCACATCATCTTGTTAAACGGCAAATAGCAGCGATATTATTAAAATAGGACCAAAATCTACATGTATTAAATATATTCTTACCCCAATTCAATCTAAACTTAGTCGAAAAGCGTGAAAAGAACGGTTTATTTGTTGCTCTTGGAGGAATTGCCGTATCATGCGAGCGAAATCGAATCGCGCATCGGAAAATTAGCCAAAGCTGTGCACCACAACTCTTAGGAGATAAGACTGGGACGTAGATAAATACGGTTACATACACATTTTAAATACTACAATGTTTCGCGCCATTCAGACTTGCGACGACGAAAAAATAAAAAAACAACAAAAAAAACAACAAACAACACCAGGGCGAATTTTCAACTCCGTCGCTGACGCCGGAGTAATTACTGTGGTCCGCGGTGCCTCAGATGGTGGCAACATTTCTTTTGAAATATACAGCTAATGTCAGTAATGAGATTATAGAAACGTATAGAAGCGAAGTGCCAAGGGCAAGGGTATGGTGTAAAACACTTTAATGTTCACAACTAAAATTTATCATCAACTTAAGCATCGTGACGTGCACACAGCATCGTGACGCACAGCTAAAATGGGTACGCGCACCCAATTTTATTCGTCCTCAGACAACCAATACAAAGTCCGAAACGCAGGTACGCATTTTAGCCGTACCATGCCAATAATTTGAGTGTAGTGTAAACGGGGCTTTATTGTTGGAAAATCTACAAACAGTTACTATGTGAACACTGAACAATAGCTTAAACTGAAACCTGTAAACTGAATTCACTAATAATTTTATCGAATTAAGCCTTTTGTAACGTGATGCTTAAAATGCTCGACTGCTCGAAATAAACATCCAAATGATTGACACAAGAGCTTTGAGCTTAAGTGCTCAGCCTATCGTTCCTTAGTTCTTTCAACATTTTGTCAAGAACACGCTAGATGGTTAACCTAAGATGACAGATTTTTAGACAAAAAAATTAACACTTAGATTTTTATCAGCCTAATATACCTATATATAGGAGAAATACCTAATGATTGAAAGTGGTCGAAAATTATGTTTACTCATATGCGTGGTTTTAGTTAGGAATAACTACATTCTCCAAGTTGTTTTGAAGATATATTCCTATTTATTGACATTGACTTTATTCTATTTTTATCTTATTTTTTATTTCATTCTTTATCATATATTTTTATTCTTTTATTTATTTTTATTATATCTTATCATGCGTTTGACTAAACACAATCAAACGTTGCGACAGTATGCATCATCGGGTCGGATCACACATAGCCCAACTGTTTATTCATTATCACATTTAAACCAGGAGGGGGTAGTCTAGCTAGATTTGAACAGCTTTTGTTTAAAAAGGGGGGCGACTACGTTGTGTAACATATGCAAATATTAATACTAAATATCGTTCGCTTTTCAGGGGGATACAGAAACTATGCAGACACGAACGACGGTAAATGTCTGAAGAATTACTTCCAGGATGTTCTGTTGGTTGTAGTGTATCACTATGCGTTCTACGACACCCTACCTTTTATCCAATCTCAGTATAAAGAAGCCTTTCCCCACATTGTTGTTTGCGGACCCAAAGCCAGCACCAAATTCGAGGTTTTAGCTGTTGATTTTGGACCGCGTGGCTACTATAGCTTCGAATGCCTGGGAAAAGCTATGCGCATCCACCCGGGTTACAGGGGCTACATGTTTGTAAATGATGATATGATTGTGAACTGGTGGAATTTTGCAAAACTAGACAAGGATAAGATTTGGAAAGGAGCAGAGATCGATCAAAGTGCTGCCCACGAAGTAAGTCAAAGACCAGTTAGGAATGATTGGATGTGGTGGAGGAAAGAAAATGGTTTGAAAAATTGCGAGAAAGTATTCCAAAAATTGAACGATGCAAGAAATGAATCTTTAAACATCGATGTACCTCGGTTACTACGCACTCATTATCGTAATGGTAAAAATAGAACCATGTGTTTTCGAACTTGGTCGGACTTCGCGTACGTTCCTGGGAGATTACGTCGAGAATTCGAGGCACTTTCAAGGATATTTTTCGAAAATAAAGTGTTTCTAGAAATAGCATTTCCGACCATTTTAAGTATGCTGAACGATTGGAAGTGTTGGGAGAATGCAAATGGCCTTTATTTGCCTGAAATATTCGGGTTCCAGGATTTCTCCAATGTAAAATACGTTTGGCCTAAATTCTCCAGAGATGTTACGTTCTTGCATCCTGTCAAGTTCTTTGGGAACAAAGGATATCAAAACAGAAGGATATTTAATTCAAGAGTATTGCCCTATGTTAAACATTACACGAACTGCTAAGATATTCGTTATTACGAATGGTAATACATTGAACCTTGTAGGAGATTGAGCGTGATATGTATATAGGTTGTCACATGATGGGTGAGCCTGAGGTGATATCAGTTTAATCGCCCGAGGGACAATGTCACAAATTGTCCTGAGGGCGATAAAACTTATATAACCGAGCCAATCATGTGATAACCTGTTAATCACATACTTGTGCCTTTATTCAGTTCGGGCTTCAAATATGACACATATTCAGCTTTATAGCAGTTTTTAAATCATTTTGGTTTATAACAGTAGCTTTCAAATCCTTTTGCTTGATTTTAAACGTTTTATGGAAATTTTTGAACGGAATAAATGGACCTCAATATGTCTTTCAGTGTAAAGAAACGCCAGGTTCCTACCTTGACGTATGGCATGCATGTTAATACAAATTTAGTTAATTGTACACGAAAATCGTCAATTTCGATACAAAAAGCCGGTCTTGTGACTTCAAAATTGTCCTCTTTGTTTTTCTTCGTTTAGTTATTCTGCTGTTCAAGTTCTTAATTTGGGTTTTCATTACTATAATTGAACCAGAAACTTGCGCAGTAAACATCAATTTTGGTTGTCAACACAATCAACTAGCAGCTAAATCCCGAAACTTTACAGTTGACGCCATCTTGAATTTGGCCGCGGAGAGGCATGGATACTAGTAAGTTTACTTCCTAACCCTAACCCTAACCCTAACCCTTACTAGTATCCACGCCTCTCCGCGGCCAAATTCAAGATGGCGTCAACTGTAAAGTTTCGGGATTTAGCTGCTTTTACACAATCATGTGGCCGCCATCTTGCATTTCTGGAGCGGGAAAAAAGCGAGATCAGTGACATCATAGTTATTGTAGTGGGACATATCGTTTTTATGTCACCCTGTTATCTATAAAGCGGCATCAGTATGCCGAACAGCACGGACGCACAATTCAATATTATGAATTAATATACAATCTTCGTGCATTGGCCTAAATCTATCACGCGATTGCATGGTCAAAATCAATCACGTGGTTTCTTGTTGCCTGGCGACAGATCATGGGCATTTATTCGCAATAACCTGAAACGAAGCTTGGATCTTCAATGTAGGAATCAATAAACTCAGATTGTATATTAAAAGTGTTAGAGACTTTATGTTCGTGTTTTGTTAACAAATAAACGCACTTGCTGACTATACAATGAACTCAAAATTGTAATATTGAAATTTCTAGTTCATTGTATGGTCAGTGCGTGCGTTTATTTGTGGACAAAACACTTACAACAGTCTCTAACCCTTGAATATAGCACAGTGTTCGGTGACTGTGTTCCCAATGTTTGCACAATGCGTACATAAATATCAATATGTATCACACCGCTTGCTAATATAACACAGCTGTGTACAAATTTAGCACAGCCTACACAAACAGCGTACAGAAAGCTAGTGCAACGTCACACAAAGCTAGCACGTCGTACACAAGGCCAGTACAAGGTACACAAAGCTAGCACATGCATCGTTTACAAAGCTAGCACACCGTACACAAAGCTAGCACAGTGTCGCACAAAGCTAGCACAGCGTCACATAAAGCTAGCAAAGCGTACATAAAGGTAGCAGACTGTGCAGAAAGGTAGCACAGCGTAGTACAACGTTGCCGGCATACACCTTGCGATAGGGTTGGAGCTGAAATTTCACTGGTGCATGGAAGTGATGGAACCACTCCTACCGTACAAAAATACTGACCTTTCTATTATGGTTAGCGAATTGTTTCAACAAATTCAACAAAGAATTTTGGTTCATATTTAACAGTTAACATTCATATTTAACATAAACTTTTATCCATTTTCAAGCATTTGACGCACATTCAACAAAAATATTGATCTATATTCAAGAAAACACTTTTGCATTCAAGGCCCATTCAACTTCAAGCCCCAAATTTACATTCAAGCTAAAAAAACATTGATTCAACCCTCAAGTCCAGCCTGATCGCAGGTTTGAAATCTAATAATTACCTTCAGATACCAACAGTTATTTTATTATTATTGATTTTTTAAAACTGGCTCAGTGCTGGCTCCAACAATTGTAGAAATTTAAAAAAAAAACTATTATTTCTAGATATTAGATCACAATTACAGAATACCAGAAATTTGTATTTGTCAATTTGACGTCATGGTTACGAATACCAGAAATTATTTGTAGGTGGCTAACCAGTCAAAACGTAAATTTTATATATAGTGAATAATAAAATGCATGATTGAAATCGATTTTGCGTAAAGAAAAGGTGCACTTTTTTAAACTGAGTTATGGGAGAATTTTTTTCAATTTACCTTTGCATGTCAATAGAGAATCTCGAGCGTTTTAGCATTTTTAGCGAGCGTCCTGCTACAACTTGCGATAAGAGCTATTAAAAGTTTGTTGAAAGCACTTCTTTTCAGCCAAGATAGATATTAGATTTATATATATTGGATTCGAATTTTATATTTTTATCAGCTCTATTTTTAAGGTTTTTGTTATCTCAGTTTGTGATTTTGCATGTGAGTAATTGTTACAAACAAATCCGGCACCTATGTAGATAGCTATTAAATTTGAGAATTTGGCTTCTATGAAAGAAACTAATTCTTGAAATTTTCGAAACCTGTCTGAAAAACCAAGATTTTGGAAAGCACTGGTATTAGGATAGCTCGATTCCTGCAAAAAATACCGCCTATAGGCTTGGTCGCACCGAGGACCCTCGCGTATAATACTAACTTCTTATTAACCGAACGCGAGGTCTTTACCGAGAAATATCGGACCGAGGTCTTTTTGTGAATTTTGAGTTTTGTGAATACTCATGCAGTATTTGATAAATAACGTATTTATACAGATCAACAGATCAACCCATATACCGACATCGAAAAGTGTGAAATTTACAAAGTAAAAACACAAACAAAATTAGACCTAGAATCTCAAGGTACGAGTTAGTAAGAGAGACAATTTTTTGAGAGCGATCATGTTTTTTATAGTCAGGCAACATTTCTGAAAGAGTAAAGCTATAGAGATTTTTCAAAATGGTTGCCAAATACAGTGTTTAATTATCATCGCAAAGGAGTTCGACGACCCCAAACTTATCCAAATTTCTTTCTCATCAAAAAGTTTACACTTTAATGCTTTATCGATAGCAGAGTTCTAAAATAATTTTATAATGGGCGATTGTTTCTGTCGCAACAAACGTCAGTTTTTTAGCTGCTCAGTTGGTCAAATTTCGCTCACGCCCACTAGAGAAAACGGGTATAAAAAAACGCCATTTTTAATTACTCTATAATTAAGCCACCTAGTTCAAGCTCTGTTCTTTTACTTATTGGCTGGGTTTCCACTTGCAGAGAAAAAGCAGAATACTGCTCTCATGTTCATATAATACTGAAATAGCGTTATGATCGCAGACTATATTGTCTATATTTGATTTATATATAAACGTTGTTTGATGAAGTGTAGATAAGTTGTAAAAACAGAAACCACTAATAACTTTAAACCGCTAGTCAGTATTACATATTTAAACAAAAATAGTTAATCGTTTCCTCTATAACAGCCATAAAATGATTAAAATTGTTAACCATGCACTGAACCTACCATATGCTATAACAAACACAAGGTTTTCCTAGTGAAGTTTTGATTCAATATTCTATATAAAATATTTTTGTCTGCATAAAACTTTCCTATACATTCTAGCAGGCATAAAGTCCTTTCCACTCTTAAAGAGAAAGAAGAAATACTTCAAACCTCTAGAAATACCGTTTATGCGAGTTTCCTTTATGCTGTTGTCTTTACCACCAAGTCGCGATTCAATGCGATATATTTTTTTTACACCACTGAATCTTTACGGACTATTATCCATTTAAGTGAATCTTGTTGGATATCCTCCGAACAGGGCCTGGAGGTTTTCGCTAGCTATAAATACATGTATGCAAATGACTAGTAAAATCATATCATTGGCCTAGTTTGTTTTTTTCTTTTTTTTTCGTCAATAGACGAGATGATAGACATGCACTAGGCATGTGTAAGGATGTACAAAAGCTAAATCAACTGGTACTCTTGATGATTTCACACCAATACGGTTGACAACTTGGCGTTCGGGCTTTTCCCAAACACACCAACATCCTTACGACCCTTGGCGGGTTTGACCCTCGCCCCAACATTTTTGGGCCAACAACACGGTATTCAAAAGTTTGCTAGACTTACAACCATAGAAATGATAGACATAGAATGCGTCCTTTTCTACCTTCTCAGTGAACAAATTGACGCCACATTAGCTATTCAAAATGGCCGATTTACTGATAAGGACTTGACTTTTTCGCAAGACGAACGGCAATGTTAAGATTATTTTGGCCACACGACCAATATAAGGTTATATTGGTTACGCGACCAAGCACGCACATTATGTCTACTATTTCTATGCATGAATAACGCATGCAACGGTTTCTATGCAATACTGTCGTCTTGTTAGCATTCGTGTTTGGCGAAGGAATGTTGACTTTCTTTGAAAATAGCTTTTTTTTAGTATGAATGCAACTTATATGCAACATATATTACTATGCAACTATTTGCCGTCTTATACCGATATATTTTTTGATGAATTAAAAGGCAATTTGCAAGCAAATCTTTTTCAATTTTGGGTGTTAGGGTGTTAGGCGTCTTTATGCATTGTCTGTGTATGACCCCTTATTAATATGTCTTTTGATTGGTTGTTTTTGATCACGTGTTTTAAAATAAAAATTAAAAAGTTCAATTTTACTTACTGTGGCATGGACGTTTTCAGTACACGGTTTAACACGGTTTCTCGTTCGGTATCTCTGCTTTCACAGTTTCACTACATTCAATTTTAATATATGTATACACAAGCGCTGGATAAAAACAACTTTCAAATTTATTCATAATTTAAACACAATCGAAAAGTAACACAATAAATCCCCTATTCTTATAAGTTAGTATAGCCGCGTTTACACTTCAGGCCTAGACCTGACCTGGACGAGGTCTAGGACAAGTCTAGGTAATATGTACTACATTCACACTGTCTTCCTTAATCCTTATTGATGATATCGGATAGCCAAAGTAATTGACAAAATACTTGGAACAGGACCCAAAACACGCCGAAAAGTGGTAATACTATATGGATCCTATACAAATCACACTATTAAGTTCAAAACTTGTGACTTGGTATAGCCTGTTCATATTACCAAAATCTTGCCCTCGGTCAGGTGCAGGCCGTCCTGGCCACCTTCTGCTGTTGGGCTGGCCGGGGATTTTGTGGCCTAGACCAGGTCCAGGCCTCTGGGATAATCGAAATCAGAAATTATTTTGTTGGTCGTTCACGCCGTTTCAATTTTGAAATACAAAAAACCGTTACAAACAAGAAGCTAGGATTTCTGGCTATCCCAGAGCCTAAACCAGCTGTTCCAGAGCCTTCGTTTTCTCGCCAGAGGAATCGAAATTCTACTGAACTGCAGCTGTTCCGGTCACTTAACTGGAATGCGAGCTTTGCGAGAACGGAAGTTCTGATGCATTTCCTGTAGATTCCAATTGCAGTAACAAGCAACAAGCCTCAAATCGTGTGTATAAAATTTGGAAGGGTGAAATATTGGCAAATTTGGGACAGTTTGCCGTTGTAAACGGCCATGGAATCGTTCTTTGAAGTGGTATGATCCTAAAATTAAATTGGATTGATATTATTTTGTATGAGAGTTTATACTGCCGGTGTGAATATTCGTTATCGTTTTATTATTTTAAACATGTTCAATATAGAAGACATTTTCCGGCGTGTTCTCAATAGCTGTCTTTAAACTTGTTCGAAAATTTAGGGCAGTCGCGTTTGGGTCTTAGACAACAAGGAATGGTTGCCCTCTGTGGTAGAGACAGTACAAGATGGGAAAGTGACATTTCGAACCGAATATGGCAAGGTGTGTATATATACACGCTAGGGTCGCATAGTATAATGAAATGACATACTTTGCGTGAGTATATTTTCTTTCAAAGTGTGATGTTAGGGGAATTTAGTTGTATTAGTATATGTATTCCCGGCAAATGCGCTCTTTGTCCTTTCCCTTGGCTGCATTAGACTTTCTTGTGTGCAGAAACAAAAGGTATGAATTGATATCTGTCTGATCCTGTCGGAAAAGCGCTAACAGGTGGAGACCTTTTGTGTTTACGTTTTGAAATTAATATTTGCACGTTTTGTTTTCTCCAATAGCACGTTGTCGGAACAGAATTTCACTTCCGCGCGATACACCAAGTATTAAAAACGCTGCTATTGGCTATCTAATTACGAACGGGCTTTCCTAGTTCTTTTACAATTATCAATCACGACAATTGACCAAAAATTAAACCCAGAAAAGGATTGAAGAATTCTTCATTTGTGTTTTTGAAAGGGCAATTAGGCTTGACATCAGTGTTCATGCTAAAAAATCAGAAGTGGTTAGGTAAATAACTCAAAATCCACATTCCTGAAATATTAAATTTCATTATTCTGCAATGGCCCTTTACTCTGTTCTTGTGACTATTTCTAAGTTATTAATCACGTTAGGCCTGGTCTCATTATGTAAGCATAGGAAAAAGGAAGTATTACAGATAAACTACTCAGACACCAAATATATTGTATGAAAATAACTTGTCTCGAATAGAACTTTATGGTATATATGTTAGGGCCTGCAAAGAATAGGTATATATATATAATTACTTTATTCTTAACAGGGAAACTGCTTGACAGATTTATCAAGTTACCATTTATCCATAATTCATTTTGTTCTATTAGCGTGTAAAATACAGTTTAAAATATTATGGCGAGATGAGAAATACAAGAGTATTTCCCTTGGGTGAATGTTTATAGACCTTATTATTTAAATTCTGAGCTGTGTGCATATTTGTGGATGAAGTATATTGTTCCTGATTGCCATTGGTAATTATCCTATATGTCAAGTGTAATGTAGGCTTTTTACAAAGGTCTGTAGAATTCCTATTTATATGCATTTTGCATGTAGTTTTAATTATTTAAAGTTAGTTAACTTAGAAATGCACAATTCTGATTGGCCAATTAACTGACTCTTTATGCAACTAGTCCTAGTAAATTATCTTGCATCTATTTACACCGCAATTACACAGAAAAAATAATTTAATTAATTCAATTTTATACGGTCGCGCGAGCAAATTTTCCCCAAACTTTTACCATCACAAATAGACACTGGTTGAGTTGCCAATCAGAATGTAGGATTTGTAAAAGACAATAGTCGGGTGTATACTAAAGTTAATTATTGCACTGTTGCTCAGTTGTTAAACAAAATTTCATCCTGTAAGTTTCATTGACTCTGTCAATTAAAAGCTGTTAGTATTGTAGCCTGGCCATTTAAACCTAACAAGAATTTTGGCTCTTAATTGTTTTAAATAAAACTTTAATAATGTTTTGAAATGGTAGGTAATTCTGACATAGGTAATTGTGGTATCTTAGGTAATTGTGGGTTAGGAGAATGAAGTAAAAAATTGGTAATATTTACCAAACTGGGTATAGTACAAAAATACAAACAGTCTCAACAGGAATTACACCTTATGCAATGCCTTATGTGAGTATGTATATAATCTAAGTCAGTGCTTGAAGCTTGTTTATCACTGATCTCAACTAATGCTTTTTAACATAATTGATGTGCAGCATATTAAAAGAGCCCAAACGCGGATGATTTTCTTGAAAATACTTGGACATTCTTTTCAGCACTTGTGAGGGTTATTGCGGCTGTCTGTGTTACCGTTTAACATACCTGTTATTACTATAGGAATAGCAAATTTCGGTTCCCTACTGAAGTTCCCTGTAGTACTGTTCTGATCAATTAAGCGTGAAGCGTCTATTGCATGTATTTTGTTCGTATTACAACTATGTAACATTTTCTACACTGATTAATGATTATAGGCGATCACCAAGGATCACAGCTCGCTTTCCCGAGAAAATGCGTCTATCATGCACAGCAGCAGCGTGGAAGGTGTGGAGGACATGGCACATTTGGAGGATCTTCATGAAGCTGGGATATTACATAACCTTCATGTCAGATACAAGAAGGATCAAATATACGTAAGAATTTTATGTTTAAACATAACCTTTGATCTGTTCACGGATTCCGACTAGTTTGTTGTCTCTTGTTGTAATACATAAACCTCTTGCTTTGCAATACTATAGTCTACACCATTTGCATATGACTACATACTGTACAAGTATCTCATCTTGCACTGTGCAATTTATCAGCATTTACATCTGTTTCCTCCTACGCGGAATCTAGCTATTCGGAGAAGCAAAAACCTTATAGCTATATATAACTATATACAGACGACTCCAGATATAGGCCTAGCCTAAAATTTGATTATTTTAAAGCGAGAAGTACGAATTTCGTCAATTTCCTGAAAAATTTAGCTACGAGATTTATCAACCGCATATTTTTCTGACATGTTACAGTACGACATTTTGCTACAAACTCTTTCGAGTTGTAGCCTTGGATTTCGGTCTTCTCTTAATTTTGTCTTAGCGGTAGTCCATTCTGGATTTCGCTGCAGCTGGGCCTAAGACCGCTTGTGCAATAAAACTCCTATAACTACGTTTTATTACCGCACATTTTACAGTTATGTAAATTATTGCTTCTTAAAGAACAATTTCTAGAGCATTTTATCTTTGTTTTTCTATTTTATGCATTTGTTGCGTATGCATTAATTAATGTTTCGCCCGACTTTAAACGAAAGAAGTAGCGACGCCGTATGCTTGCTAATAGGATTATCGTTAAGCTTCAGTAATTCAGTAAATTAGCTTTTAATGAATGTTTTTAAGAATTTAACAGGGAAGTATGTGCACTACAATCACAGATTAGTGATTACAATACAGTATATAAGCTAAATCTAAATACAGGGTGAGTCAGAAAAAAGTCCCCTCTATTGAAATAAAGCCTTTGTTAGAATCTGATTGCCTTAATATTATGATAAACCCAATTGAAAGCAAGACGCTTTATTTGAATGCCTCAACCTAATAACTATGCTATTTACACACTACTGCGTTGATCATGCATTCAAATCAACAAAGGCTTCATTTCAATAGGGGGGACTTTTTTTTGACTCACCCTGTACAATACATCGAAAAAAAAATTCATTTCAAAAAAATTCATTGATTCACCAGTAATCAATGTTACCCTCTTTAAATAAAGTTTCTTCTTTTCTTCTTCTTCCATCTTGTTTGGCACTCACAAATCCTTGGAATTTTAAAAATCATCTGAAAACACAAGCGAAAATGTAACCCGCATTGCTCCAGTTGCATCCCAAAAGGCGGAAGCGAAAAAGAGCGAAGTATCAAGTCACTTGAAATTAGCGGTTTATATCTTTCAAAACAAGACGGAGATTGTAATTGTACATTTCATATCAAAGTCATATTAAAAAAATGACAGCCCCAAACTGCGTGTTGTTTTGAGTTTTTTCAGATTGTGGCGTTGTTATATATATATATATATATATATATATATATATATATATATATAATATTATATATATAATATAATATTATATATATAATAATGTAAGGTGATTTGTTCTTCTGCACAAGTATAACCAACCGGGCAAGCAGAAAATTCTACTTGACCGCGGTGGGGGTCGAACCCGCGACCTTCGCATTTCTAGAACGATGCTCTACCGTCTGAGCTACAAGGCCAAGTTGGGAACGACTGTGATTTTACTTAAGTTGTTATTACTTGAAGTTGTTATTGACAATGCGGAGTTTCGTCCTTTTACATGTCGTTATGCAGTTACTATTGAGAGCAAAATTACAAATATATCAACATTTGCAGAAGTAACTGCATAACGACATGTAAAAGGACGAAACTCCGCATTGTCAATAACAACTTAAGTAAAATCACAGTCGTTCCCAACTTGGCCTTGTAGCTCAGACGGTAGAGCATCGTTCTAGAAATGCGAAGGTCGCGGGTTCGATTCCCACCGCGGTCAAGTAGAATTTTCTGCTTGCCCGGTTGGTTATACTTGTGCAGAAGAACAAATACACCTTACATATATATACAAAAACATGGCTATAAAATAAATATATATATATATATATATATATATATAATATAATATATAACAACGCCACAATCTGAAAAAACTCAAAACAACACGCAGTTTGGGGCTGTCATTTTTTTAATATGACTTTGATATGAAATGTACAATTACAATCTCCGTCTTGTTTTGAAAGATATAAACCGCTAATTTCAAGTGACTTGATACTTCGCTCTTTTTCGCTTCCGCCTTTTGGATGCAACTGGAGCAATGCGGGTTACATTTTCGCTTGTGTTTTCAGATGATTTTTTAAAATTCCAAGGATTTGTGAGTGCCAAACAAGATGGAAGAAGAAGAAAGAAGAAACTTTATTTAAAGAGGGTAACATTGATTACTGGTGAATCAATGAATTTTTTTGAAATGAATTTTTTTTTCGATGTATTGTACAGGGTGAGTCAAAAAAAAGTCCCCCCTATTGAAATGAAGCCTTTGTTGATTTGAAGCATGATCAACGCAGTAGTGTGTAAATAGCATAGTTATTAGGTTGAGGCATTCAAATAAAGCGTCTTGCTTTCAATTGGGTTTATCATAATATTAAGGCAATCAGATTCTAACAAAGGCTTTATTTCAATAGAGGGACTTTTTTCTGACTCACCCTGTATTTAGATTTAGCTTATATACTGTATTGTAATCACTAATCTGTGATTGTAGTGCACATACTTCCCTGTTAAATTCTTAAAACATTCATTAAAAGCTAATTTACTGAATTACTGAAGCTTAACGATAATCCTATTAGCAAGCATACGGCGTCGCTACTTCTTTCGTTTAAAGTCGGGCGAAACATTAATTAATGCATACGCAACAAATGCATAAAATAGAAAAACAAAGATAAAATGCTCTAGAAATTGTTCTTTAAGAAGCAATAATTTACATAACTGTAAAATGTGCGGTAATAAAACGTAGTTATAGGAGTTTTATTGCACAAGCGGTCTTAGGCCCAGCTGCAGCGAAATCCAGAATGGACTACCGCTAAGACAAAATTAAGAGAAGACCGAAATCCAAGGCTACAACTCGAAAAGTTTGTAGCAAAATGTCGTACTGTAACATGTCAGAAAAATATGCGGTTGATAAATCTCGTAGCTAAATTTTTCAGGAAATTGACGAAATTCGTACTTCTCGCTTTAAAATAATCAAATTTTAGGCTAGGCCTATATCTGGAGTCGT